ATATTTTAACGACTTTTTAAAAATAAGAATTATATTTTTGTAAGGTAATACAAGATTCATATGTAATATTATGTATCATATGTATACGATTATTCTGATTTGCATGTGATCTCCGCGTCATTTGGTTCTTGGTCATTCCGCATAAAGGAATCTTGAGGGACAATATTAAAACGTTCGTGAGATCGAACGCTGTTCCTCGCGTCACGATCGCCACACGTATATATCATATATGTATAATCTCTATACATATAGTTGTTTAATTATTAAAACGTTTTGTAATTCTTGTTAATATCGACTTTTGCACAAATTATACATCATTAGTTACATTTTACAAATCAATATTATACATATTCACATTATTTGAAATTTTAAGGTATATTTTATTGTTTAATAACGTGAATCATGATATTCTTTAAGCGGGCTATTAGAAACAATTTTTGTCAATACGGTAATTTTACCGTATTCAAATAATGTGAATATGAATCAAATATAGAAGTGAATCCAAATTACATAGCAAAATCAAGATTTCTGCACAATTTGTGGTGCGTGTCCGTACTAAATCCACTTTTCGAGTCTGCTGAAACATTATTCTCGAAAAATTACGCATTAAAAAGTAAGGAAATATACTTTCTAATGCGTAATTTTTCGAGAATAAAGCTCCAGCAGACTCGAAAAGTGGATTTAGTACAGACACGCACCACAAATTGTGCAGAAATCTTGATTTTGCTATGTAATTTGGATTCACTTCTTCAGAGGGCGATAGTGCTCGAGGGCATTTTAGCGTTACAGCCAAAAGGCCGGTATCGCTCTCGGAATTCTCGGATCCTCTCTGTTTATAGTGTCAAATTTAACCTTACTTAAGTCGCCACTGCTCCTACTTAATAAATAGTTATTTTTAAATAAAACAATGGAATTTAACCCAAATTTGGGTTAAATTTGAACTATTTTAAATTATTTAACTCCACTGTTTTAGTTAAAAATAACTATTTATTAAAGTGACGACTTAACTAAGGTTAATTAATTTGACACTGTAGATTTAACAGTGTATTTTTATATAAATAACAGAAAAATTTCTTTGTAATTAAACCTGAAACAAAATTTGTCTAAAAATTTGTCTAATTATATCCTCTATAATTGTTCAAGGAACTCTAAATAAATTTAAATGCAAACTCAAAATCGTACGAAGCCATATATATATTACACTTATTTATTATATTGCATATAGCCAATTTAATTAATAATTTCGTTGCGATAATAATATCTAACTATAATTTCAGACAGTTTTATTTTACTTTGATGGAAACGACAAGAATGATTGACTCCAAGAACGTCGCTTCAACGTCGAACAATGCGAAAAATTCTGTTCCTAATAATCCTCTGATTGCATACGGAGATAAATGCGTAGAATTGAAAGTTATGAAGGATACAATAACTATGTATCGAGACAATATTCTAGAGAGGAAAAAGATACTGGAGGAAGAAAAACAAGAACTGGTGATGAGCCAAAAAATTCTAACTAAAGAATTTTTTTTAAATTTTTTAAAAAAATTAATTGCTGGAATTATTTACATTAATTTATGGAAGACATCATGCATGTTATAAAATTTAAGTATAATTCTAATATAAATATTAATTTAGGTATAAATTAAATATAAATTTCAGTATAAATTTATAATTAAGTGTTGATCTTTACCGAGCTAAATAATCAATAATCGTTTATTTATTGAAATTTAAGATTTCAAAATTTAATTTTAGATCGCTGAATCGTGACTCAACTCGCACTGAAATGTTTTTGTTTTTCAATTTAGGAGAAATTAAATTATCAAGTGTGGTCGATGGAAGACTCGTTATGCGAACAGATATGGCGATTCTCACGCGAACATGATTTTTCTGCTGTCTTTCAATATCATCCCTTCGTTTCGGATCGCGCGAAGCGACAAAGCAATTGTAAAGACGGTGGGATATATTATAAAAAAATTAAAAATTTAGGACAACTTCAAGCTCGGGCCAAACTCCGATTAACTGATACGGCGATTAATTCAACCGGTAGAATCGCCTAAAGTAAACTTTTTAACTGTATAATTCATTGCCCTCTGATTTAGTTTTTTTTCCATGTATTAATACAACAAAAAATTAAATTCTATATATACACGCTGAAATAACTGAAATAATAATATACAATAATTATAATTATTCTTGATAAGTCAATCATCGATTAAATTAAATGGGAAATAAATTAAAAAATTGTTAAAATTACTTTCAGAAAAACACAATGATATTCAATTATATAATGCGTTGCTCCAAATCTAATCTTTTTTTCACATTTAAATATAAAAAATTATAAACTGTCCATATTAACGAAATAATATTACTTGCTAAGTCAATTGCCGATTAAGTTAATCAGAGGGTCGGGGCTAAAGTTGCTTAAAGGGTCCCTTAAAGGGTCCCGGCTTCCTTTTATTCGCACGTGTGCGTTAAACCGAAGGTAATTCCCTTAGACGCGGAAAGGAGCTTCGAGTTGATCGATCTCATAAACGAAATCGACGCTATCAAAGCGGAAATGATTGATCTTAATCGGGGAAGGGATGTCAAACGAGAGGTGGAGAGCGCCCTAACGAAATTACGAAAGTTGCAATTAATCACGGACGACGTTACGGAGTTATTGAGGTAATGTGTAATCGACGCCCCGAAACAATTGTAATATCTATGCGAAAAAAACTGTCTTTTAATTTTAGGCTGATATGCCCCTCGAAGTTTTCGTGCAAACTCGGGACGATATCGATGCCGATATACGATGAAGTAATTCCTAACAATGGAAATGAAATCAAACGACGTAAAAATGATCCAGGTCGCGCAAGTACGAGATCGTTTTAATATAATTTTGATCACACATCTTAAATCGATTTAATTACAATTAATATAGTTAATCACTCAGTGCAAAATATTTCTTTAGCGTTCTTATCAGAATACTGTTTCATTGATTTTTGCAATACGAAATCGTTTTAATATAATTTTGATATATTTTAAATCGATTTAATTACAATTAATGTGATTAATCGGTTGCAAAATATTTCCTCAGCGTATCATATTCTTATCGGAATATCGTTCCATTGATTTTTGCAATTTAAGCGACTCTCCGTATTTATTTCGCAGAACAAACGAAGAACGATAAATCGGATCTGAGGTCTAAGAAGAAATTAGTATTTACGACTCCGGTACAGAATTATTCTCAGTTGTCCATTGAGAGAAGTATTGTATTCACTGCGAACACGGTGATCACGAACGCGCCGACACAAGTATGTACGAAATTATTTTGTTTTTCCGTTGACTACTTTATGTACGTGGCAACGATAACAACTAACGAGACATGTATTTTAATGACGATTACAGTCCACGAGCGACGAGAAATTCAAAAATTTTACTTTCAAGAAACGCAGCGAGATTTCCATCAGGTTTCATAAGCATAGGTATTAATTATTGATAATTATTAAGATAAGTATATATTCTTGCGAAAATTCAACAATTAAAGATAATTAAGGGAAGTGACTTTCGACATAGATATTAAAAATTTATTGAAAAAAATAATTATAATAGAGACTTGTCTTAATTATTATCTTAACTGTGTTACATATTTGTAATTCAAGAATTAAATATTAATAAATGAAGCAAAAAAAAACGCAAGTTTTTATAATGTCAAGAGGATCGGAGAAAGAGATCGCGCAAAAGAAGCAGAGAAGCGTGTGAATTTCGGGAAAATATTTTATAATATATGTATTTGCGTGTTTAGAAATATTTATACAGCGTCCGACGTACAATCACGTAATGTACATTGAATTACATTTAATATTACATTCTTGGAATTATACACAATTAACACATTAATATCGTGTGTTGCGCAATAGACTATTCGACAAGCGTTCATTTACTCAGAATAGTATACTGGGCGTTTGCAACCGTCACGGTAAACTTATCGCTTGCAAACCACGTGGACTATGTGCCATATTTAACAATTTGTTTTTCTTTTTATTACTTTTCTTTCTTTTTTTTAACTGTTTAACAGTTGGATCGTATTGTATCAACGATCTTGGCAAACTTACATGTGAATGGCTCAATAAATTTTCCATATGCGAAGACTTTCATCACAATTATCTAAAGACTAATTTGTTAAACGGTCGCCACGTCACATTCGTTCGGATAATAACGTAAAAACTATTAACGTTAATTAACACATACTTTAAAACATGCAGCCTTTATTTGTAAACATGCTATTTGTAAAACATGTTCGTATTTTTTTATTATGTCAATTTTTCAGAGACCTTTCTCTCGTCAAATTAAAAATACAATCCAAAATTTTAAAAGTTCAAATATTTTTTAAAATTTAGTTTCTGTTTGTTTTAATTTGCATATATCTATAAATTAAAATATACATATATATATCGATATCGTAATTCAACAATTTAATTCAATTTGTTTATGTCACATCTCGCGACAATGAAATAAGTTTAATAATCGAAGTAATCGAAAATTAAAATAAAAATACAAAAATGTACAACGTAATTGTAAATAATCCATAACGTTAACGAAATACATTAAAAACAACAAACACATACGAAATTGTATTATCGTTAAAATTCAAAGATTTCCAATTCCAATAGAAGGAATGCGCACCGTACGCATCGTTTCTACGTAACGTTACATAACGTCGAGTAAATTACGTCACAATTTTAAAAAAAGAAAATCTTTTGTCTAATATCGATGATGAACGCTTACGTCTTCGATAAGACGCATTTCCCTATTAATAGTTCGCGTAAGTGGGAGAGCTCATGGCGACCGTTACATCGCAACCTTTATCCTATATAATACAATGAAAGGAGGTTTTCACTTTCAGACTTGAAAATACCTGGCATACATCCATTAATTAGCAAGAACCTTCGCGATCCCGTTCGCCCTGCGTGCACTTTTGAGTTGCACTAATTAAGTTTTACAGGCATCTCTTCCCGCCCGCCCCTCCTCCCGGCTACGTGCTCGCTCGTAACGGATCGTAGTAACGGATTAATAGTCTCTGCAAAACGAGAACAAATCTCTATCGTTCATCATTAATCAGCTCGCAGCCCGATCGCGTCGAAACGCCCTCGTATGTATACAGTCTAATGGAAAGAACTTGCAAATTAATGTATTTTACATGCAACGATCTTTCAGCGACAAAGATTCTTAACTTTAAAAAACAGGAAGCCAAGAGACGAATCTCTCGTCGCGATCCTTGCGAGGTGCGTAACTCCGCTCTTTCGGGGGGAAAAAAAACATAGATATACATACTGATAATATGATACCGTACAAACAGATGCGTGATAAAAATGTATACTTATATATATGTATATATGTAGAAACGAAATTTATAACGCATTGAACCCCTCAGGCGCGGAGGAATACTTCTGTCAACTTCGTCCCACAACGGAGTTTGCTAAGTTCCATCTTCAAATACAGGTACAAATGTCATCCTCGTGCGCGTGCGACTCACACAATTCGCACGATAACAAACGCGGATTTATATAATTATGTAGCTAGATAATTATATATATTTATACAATAGATCGCGAACAATAACGATAGAATCGACGAATCGTAAATTACGATAGCAACATCAAACATCGAATTTCGTTCACGTTGAAGACCGTAGAAAAAATCAGGATGACATCTGTAACATTAAATTGATTATCGAGCGGCTTTCGATAGACATGGAAGAAAATTGTCTACTTCGTAGCTAGAAATTGCTGCGTGATGGAAAACAGGAGGCTTAAAATTTATAACATACAGAGCGAAGGAAAAAGAGGGTATACGCGATAACAACTATTAATTGTTGATGTACAGGAACAATTGCAGCACTTGAATAAAAATTTTATCGCACAGCCATAGTAGTTGCAATTTCTTTTTTTTTACAAGATACACCTATTTGTTTATATTTGTGGGCAATAGAGATTACGGTAGACACCTCTTTTTCTTTTCGCGAAATTAATACCCTCAACTACGGTACGTGGAGATTTTCGTGTAGTACCGAACGTTAGTCGATTATTAGAACGTATCGATGAACTGAACTGTCGGCGGCCCACTAAACAATCTGGCATTTGCAAACAATGCTGAATGGCATACGCGTAAGCGGTTTCTAATTTCGCAAATCATCCTCGGCGAATGTGTATTTTCGCATGTAGCGCATTAACGGAGAGATCACGGTAAGAAATTGTTAATTCCACAACACAAAATTAAAACAAAAAAAAAGTAATTATTACGAAGCATGCGATAATCCCAATTATGCTCGCACATTTTATACTACATAAAACTACCTCCTATCAAAAAAGCGTTAATTTCTAATTAAATTAATTTAATTTAATTACACGATTGCGCGTAATAGTGTTAAATGTGCGATAACAGCGTAGACTCGATTTTAAACAAGTCGTAAGATGTAATTGTAGAAAATGATGTAATAAGAGGATAAATCAGCTAATTATAAACATGCAAATAATGACGCTACAGCACGGTACACGTTATACGGCTACGCCCTTAACATATGCGTATGGAGAAGTAACAGTTCAGTAACACGTACACAAGTGAGAAGACTATTCAGAATGAAGAAATCGATAAGCCATATCACGGAGAGAATTTTATTTCAAAATTTACCTTGAAAGTCATGTTAATCGTAGGGCAACATAGTATTTCGACGAATTTTATGTGATTTTCACTATTTTTTTTTAAATACATACTGCAACAAATTTATTGTAGTGCACAGTAAAATTTGTCGAAATACTATGTTGTCCTACGATTAACATGATTTTCAAGATAAATTTAAAAAAAAATTCTCTCTGTAGTGTAGAGATCTTACAACCCAAACTCATAAGATCTATAGGCACGCTGTTAAATGCAAGCCTATCTAGTGTAATATACATACAATAATACTTATTTATAATTAATAATATAACGCGTGTACAAATATTCAGGGATATATAATACATGTAGCTTTATAATTACATTGGCACTATTTCTTTGTGCAAAGACAAAAGCAGGATAATAACGTTGATGTGTGTACGCGTGTGTGTGGTAAAAAAAAAAAGAAAAAAAGAAACAGATGAAATGTAGTCGCAACATCGATCGCTTTATGGAACTTAGCAAAATGTAATCTCACGAAAATGTTCAATGTTCATGTCTTCTTCTCCTTCTTCTTCTTCATTCTTTTTTTAACGTTTACGCTTGGCAGCACAATCTCTTTAATCTAATGAAAGCACATCCTGAAACAGAACAGAGACTTCGTTGCTTTAATTGTCGCACACAAATTGTATAAACCGAACAGAATAAAAATCCGAGTTATTTCTTTTTTTTGGTGCAATTATCAATATATCTTCACCGTTATCATTTCTTTATCTAATATCACTTTGTTATTTCGAACATTCCTTTGACGATCTACAAACCGTAATATGGATTTTACGCTCGGACACGCTCCCTTTTTCCAGCTTATATCTATATTTATCTAATTTAAAACAGAAAGATGCGGATTACCATGAGAAATCTTACGTTACTTTGTATATGAATAATTGCACATAAAGTTCATTTAATAATTAACTCTGCGAATCTCAACGAAACGCATGATCGTTGTTCGTTAATGCAAATTATGTAATAAAAAGTAAATCTCGAATCTTGCTACGATATCGTACACCGTTACTTTACTGTGTGTAGATCATTTTTGTTCTTTTTCTTTCTGTGTATAAATTCTTACCTTCACAAGCGTACCAATGTAGTCCTCATTATCGATACGAATTGTTGAGTCAAATAAATAGAGCTATACAGCTTTATGTACCAGAAGGGAAATTTTCTTTGGAAGGTCTTATATTTGCAATGTTATACCTTCTAAGATAACACACGCATTGACGAACAAATGGGAAACAATACCGCGTATACGATATCGGTGAATAAGAAAATTTTGAAAATTTATATTGTTTCGCGTGCTCGCGTATTCCCGATTTAAATATCTTTCTTTTCGTCTATGTACGAAATTTCAATCTTTTAATAACAGTAAATAATGTCATTGATGCCGATCCTTAATGTTTCTTTATCATTTGTAAATTGAAGATTATCTTATCTTATTTCTTTGTATGCTAATGATAATTTTTTTGTGATAGGACATTTGTAATATTTCTTCGTAACAACACGCATTTTTGCGCAATTTAGCGTTAAAATATTTCTAAAAATTGTTCAACTCCTTAAATAATCGTGGAATATAAAAATTGAATTGTTACTTATTTTATTAAGTTTTAAAAAATAACTGCAATATATGCATTAAAATATATCATATGACAGTTACGTGCTTCGTAAAATATTTTTTTCTGTATAATAAAAGAGTTAATTTGCAATCAAAAGCATGGAAGTCAAAACATGGAAGTATTTCAAATATTAAATCAAAATTATATAATTATGTATTGTATAATAATAAAGATGCAACATGCATTATATGCATTATTTAACAAACATAAACTTAATAGTTTTAACAAACACAAACTTAATATATCAATATATAAAGTAACTTTTATACGTTTTATATACATAAAGAAGAAAAGTGCATTTTATTATTGCTTTTTGTAAAAAAACATTCTTTTATATTTTCCTTGCAATTTTTTTTATCAGAACTTTGTATCATATCTTGTTGAAAAATAAAAAACATAAATATAAAATATATAAACACGGTTTATATCTTTCATACTTTAACACTAGAAATAAAATTGTCATCTGCTGTGATATCTAAAATATTTCGTTAAAATAGTTACTGTATATATATATCCTCATTTTATTCGTAAAAAATTCTTATTCAACTTTATATCACACGTTATTTCATCTTCCTGCAATTGGAAAGTGATATTTTCCTTGCTGAAACAAAGTGATGCGTGATTCGTTTTATACAATGTAATGAGCTAATATCATTCATGCATTTCCTTAAATTGAGATCATTAGGCTGAGAATTGACATATGTACATATCGTTATTATAATACATCCCTCTTATATCGTTGAACAATTTCCTTACTATCTTTCTCTCTTTCTCATTGTCTCTCATAATTAAGAATCGACATCCATTTGACTATATGAAAAGCATGCGATCATAATAAAATAATCAATGTCTTGTACAGTGTATCTGCATCTTGAGATAATGCATCACCAGTGACGACCCTCCGACCACGATCTCCGTAGGGATATGCGACAACGGGCAATTCTCAAGTGACATAATTCCGAGATTCTTGCACATCGCCAGGCCCAAGGGCAGATTGTGAAGGTTCCGATTCTCATTGAGGTAGAGCGACCCGAGATTCTCCAGGAGGCCAATCTCATTTGGCAAATGTAGCAGATTGTTCTCGCCGACGCTGAGGTACGTGAGATTCTTCATGCCCCCGATCGTGTCCGGCAACGCGGTAAGCTGATTCGACTGCAGTATCAGCTTCTGCACGCTCTCCATCTGGCCGATCTCGGGCGGCAGCATGTCGATGCGGTTCTCCTCCAGATCCAGCACCCGCAGCTTCTTGAGATTCGCTATAGTGCTCGGAATGCGTTTCAGCAGATTGTTAGAGAGTATCAGTATCTCCAGATTTTGCAGGTACTGTATGTCGTCCGGGAGCTTCGGCAGTTGATTCGTTCCGAGGTTCAGCTCGACCATGGTGATCCACGAACCGATGTCCAGCGGCAGGGAGTTCAGCAGATTCTCCTTCATATTCAGCTTCGCCAGATTCTTGGACCGCGAAAAGATGCCGTAGGGTATCTTGTCGATCTGATTGTGCTCCACATTGACGACGTAGACGTTCAAGAATTGGGACGGGCCGCCTGCCGGGTAGGAGGTAAAGTTGTTCCTGGACAGCGAGATCGTCGTGAGTAGCGACATACTCGACAGCAGACCGTCTGGCAGCTGCGACACCTGATTACCCTCCACGCTGAACTCGTCCATCATCTTGCAGTTCGCCAGTGATTTCGGGATAACCGTCAGTCTGTTGTACCGGATGCCCAGTCTCGTGAGCGACACCAGATTGCCGAGCGTGTCCGGCAGGTCGACGAGCTCGTTGTGCTGCACGTCCAGGGTGGACAGTTGCACGCACTTGCCAATCTCCTCGGGCAGGTGCTCCAAATGATTGTGCGAGGCATCGAAGGTGACAAGATGGACCAGCTCGCCTATCCCCGCGGGCAGCTCCTTGATCTTGTTCTCCCGGAAGCTCAGCATAGTGAGATTCGTCAGGTTACTTATCTTGTTGCTGACGTACCTGACGCGATTGAACCGCAGGAACAACGTGGTGAGCGACGTGAGCTTGTACACCACGTCCGGAATCACGGTGAGCTTGTTGTGCCTGAGATCCAGCACTCGCAGCGATTTGAGGTTCGCCAGGGTGTTGGGCAGATTGGTGAGCGAGTTCTCGCTCAGCGCCAGCGTCTCCAGATTCGTCAGGTGGCCGATCTCGGGCGGCAGAGTCGTCAGCTTGTTGCCGTAGAGGTAGAACTCCCGCAGGTGCTTCAGCTCCTTCACGGAACTGGGTATAATCGTGATGCTGGCCTTGCTCAGGTCCAGCCGCTTCACGCTGTTCTCTCGGCACCGCACGAACTCCTTGTTCACGTCCAGCTCCGCCTGGATCGGGGTCTTCTTGATGGTGGGCTTCGGCTTGCTCGACTTGTCCGGATACTTGATCATAACGATCTTCTTGGTGTCGCCCAGGCTGCCGCTGCCACTGTTGCTGTTGCTCTCATAGGACGGGATAGTTCTCGTCCTCTCGTTCAACACCTGGAGCGGCACCTCCTCGGGCGTCTCGCCGCTGGCCGTGCTGGTGGTGCAGGCCGACAGCCCGCAGCCCTCCAGGTACTCGGGTATGTCCTGCTCCTTCATCGAGAAATTGATGAGACTGTCGTCCCCGAGACTCGTCGTGCGATCGCGCCTCGTCTTCGACAGGCACACCGTCGATATGTTACTCACGCTTGTCCAGTGTTTGCACGATTTTTTCATAACCTAACAGGCCTCTTACCCCCCTGCGGCGCGACGCGACGCGACGCGACGAGGGTAACGGTGGCAATGGGTTAACACGAGCACGTACGACGAGACGGAGGCGGGTGTCGCGCAGCAGGTGTAAGTGACGGGATTCGGCACGCACGCACGCACGCACGTCTGTTCCCCCCCTCCCCCTCACACCATCCCCCCGCGCCGCGAGAACAAAGAGATTCCGAAGTCCCGAAAACACGCACCACTCCTTCACCGCCGCGCACGTGCCGCGCCCGCACGCGATCGGACACGTCCCCCGCGTAAGATTTAACGCACGACCGCAAGATCCGCGAGTATCGACATTACGGTGCGGAGAGTTGTCCTTGCGCTCCGTATTTGACCGAATACGACGCAAGCGCGAGCGCGAGCGCACTAAACCGCACACCAATTACGCGCTTCTGTTGTATGGGTCAGCCATAGACTCTGCAGTGCAGATGGTAGACGGCGCATTTATTGTCATCGTCCGACGCGGCGAGATTGCGATGCGGTAGCCAATCAATTTATCGCTTTTCCGTGGGGCTCTTTTCCGTCCAGTTTCCGGACCGGGAACTGTGTGTAGCTAATCAACTTGCAGCTTCTTTCACGAAAAAGCAGCTTTTATTGACTATACAGTTCTCGATTCGAGATTGAGCCGATTTATATACGCAATAAAATGGGGCGTTTTGATTGGTCAATTCGGATAACGTGACGTGCTCAGTGGGAACGCACCCTTAGGTATATTTCCTATCTCCATAGAAAAGAACGACAAGAGAGGGGGGAGCGAGCGGAGACGAGTCGACCAGCTGACGAGGAAAGCCGACGAGTGGAAGAAAGAGAAGGAGCGCGAAGGGCAGCGGGGGGGGGGGGAGTCGCTGCTGCGCGTTGGAGCAGAGCGGCGGCCATATTGCCGCGAGTGAGCGCAGTGTTTGTTTTGTCGGTGGCGACTGTGGCGAGCTGTTGCGAGCTGCTGCGCGTTGAGTCCCATGCGTGCGCGCGCGCGCACGCCTACGAATCCGTCCGTGCGTCTCTCGTCGTGCGTGTGACTCTCTCGTCGGGCGAGAGCGAGCTCAGGCAGATTCCGGGAATCGTGCGGTTGGTCCCATCCTCTCGAGCCGCGCGTTCATTCCACGCCGCCGCTGACGGAACCGTGTCGGTGTCGCGTATCACCGCGAGACGCGCCGCCCGCCCCCCCCTCTCGGGCGCTGCTCTCCCCCTCGCAGCCAACGTTGGCCCCGCGCCCCGCCCTTGCCCCCTTTCCCCCCGGGGGGCCACGGCCCGCGCGAGACTGGGTGTCAGTCGCGCACACGGGACACACGGGTAAGCCTCTGAGAACGCTGCGCCACCACCGACAGCAGCAGCAGCAGCAGTAGTAGCACTAGTAGCACCATGGCGTGCGCCACGCTCAAGAGGTCCTTGGAGTTCGACCCGGTGCACAGCCACGGCCGGCCCAGCAAACGGCGGAGGTGCATGCCGATGTCGTGCGCCTCGCCCGGCGCGTCCGCGTCGTCGCCACGCAGCGGACCGCTGCCGCAGAAACCGTCGCCGTTCGGCGAGATAGCCAGCAAATTGACGCCTGGTAATTATACCGCAGGCCACGGCCATTTTTTCTCTCGCTCTCCGTCGCACCCGTCGCGCTTCCCCGTGTTTATCTCCGTCTCTCGCACTCCCCTCTCCCCCGCTCCTTTCGTCTTTTGCCTTCCTGCCGTTCCTTCTCCCCCCTCTCCCTCTCAATCTCTCTCTCTTTCTTTTACTTTCTTTCTCTCTCGCGCTCTCTCCGTCTCTCCCTCGCACGCGTATTCATCTTCATTGCGCACCGAGAGGAATAAACGTGATGGGGCGTGAAGGGATAGAAGGGAAGAGAGAGAGAGAGACGGCGAGTAGGGGCGGCTAAGCTCTAGCGATTTAAAACCCGTATTCGCTGAGTCCACACTCCGATAAGGGGAGAGGGGAAGGGGGCATGCGTAAATCATATGGTAATGTAATAACGGACGCGCTCAGGGATTCGGGTTTTCGTCCCCTTTTTTTCTTTTTCTTTCCTCTTCGCGACTTTTCCGCGCTGCGAAAGGAAGCGCGCAAAGATGCTCCCGGAGACGACATATTTTCTACTTTCTATGCATGCGTAAGATTGTGATATATATATATATATATATATGTATATATATATGTATATATATATATATATATATATACATACATATATGTATAGTAACACGGGAGATTATTATTCTATATATATGTACATAAAAATGAAACATCATTTTCTATATATATATATATATATATATATATTGAAAATGATGTTTCATTTTTGAAGAAGAGTTATCGCTGACGTTTGTCTTGTCAACAACGATGCTCGAGAGACATGATTGGACGATTAGAGTATGTTTAAGGATGGAGAATAGGTACGCCGCAAGCTAAGTTGTTAAATCTGCGTAACGAATCAGAAGAAAGCACAAAAATTGCAGTTGAGAAAAATTTCGAGAAACGAAAAGAGCCATTAGAAGCGCGCCAGCTGACAATAAAATATAAGATAAACGAGCTACGAACGGAATGGGCAGAGATAGTAAATTGAGAGAGAGACGCGATAACTAATCCAATCGACGCGTGGCAAGTTGTAAAAAAAAAAATTACAAGTGCATTTATAACAACAGTCGTACAGCATTATAATTGAATTACACTCTAGATCTTACGAAATGTTAGTATGTAGTGTGCGACGTACCTGGATAATAGATGATATTTATGATAATGTAATATATTTTATTTTATATAATATTGTAAGATTTTATTTAAAGGAACAAGAAATTATTTAATTATCTATTGGGGATAATATTACATTTAAACACTCGACAAAGAAATTCAAATATTTTACAAATTTATTGCAAATTTTTTGCAATTACATTGTTTTATATATTTGATTCTTTTGGCGTTATTTTACTTTTTCTAATTTTAAAATTATATTAATAATTATAACTTTTAAACTGTACTTGTCATTTAAACTTTCATGTCATCACTGATATTTGTTTTATGTAATATTATCCATAAATATTTTTTAATATTTGTCTGTATAAATTTTCAAACTTAAATACTCTTTACTTAAGTTTTGCTATAAATCTTACAAAAAAAACAAACAAAATACAGTTGCTATTAAAATACAGTATTCTTGAAAATGTAACATTTATTTGAATATAATGTTCTTGAAAATATTTATTTGTAAACACTCCGTTTATGTTTTAATTATGTTAATTGTCTTGTTGAAGATTAATCCATATTTTTTAAACAATGTTACAATGTTGTACCTTTGTTTATACAGAAAAGATGGCTGCCAACATCAGAGAAGAAATCCGCAGATTGCAACGACGTAAACAATTGCACTTTCAGCCCCAAACCAACAGCGGCGATTCATCAGACATGGAGGGACCTTCCAGTCCTTCCGGTCCGTCTGGCTCTTCTTTAACTCCCTTTAGTCATAACACTAGCGGAAAGGAAAAACCACTTTTCACATTTAGACAGGTAAAGTCTATTGATATTTTCATTTGTATTTTTCAACAGGAAATACGTGAATCTATCTTCGACTTTTACATTGGAATTATTTTATTACAAGTAAATGTCGATTATTATAGGAATGTAAAAGTTTCGGATTTTAGATGTCTATATTACATGCCTATAAAATTGGTGTTGTAGGTTGGTTTGATCTGCGAGCGAATGCTCAAGGAGCAAGAAACGCAAATCCGAGAAGAGTACGATCAGATCTTACATTTAAAGCTCGCCGAACAGTATGACACTTTTGTCAAATTCACATACGATCAGCTACAAAAAAGATTTGCATCTGCGGCTGCACCGAGTTGTACGTATTTACTCCAAGAATAACGTTTGTGTATTCATACGCCTTTTGCTCTTCCTCTATTACACCATACGATTTTTATATTTCCAGATCTATCATAAGAAAAGTTTCTTATTTATAAGAAGACATTTCTGTGAGGAATATTAGGTAAGTTTTTGTAAACATGTTTTTTTTCTTTTTCTAGAGAAAACATCAAATTAATAAAATAGCTGAAGCAGAAATCCATTAAATTGTTTAAAATGTTTTGTATTGTAGATTTCTACTGTGTGAGACAAATTTTGCTTGCGCCGTCGTCCGCAGCGTCGCCTCACTTCAGGAATCATCTCTAAAACGAACCACGGTTTCAGCAGTGTCTAAATAAAAAGGAAAAAAAGGACTAAAAAAAAGATGAGGACGGGAAAAGAAGAAAAAATAATGATTAGTAACGTAAGTTTGCGTAGAGAGAAAGAGAGAGAGAGTGCATGTGTGTGAGAGAGAAAGAGAGAGCAAATTGCGGTGAATTGTAAACATATTACGAAAATCTACCATGTATACTTTCGAGACTAACAATATTTGTACTGTTCGACATTAGAAGTGCGCTGGTATCAGGGAACTGATTCTACTTATGTACAAATGTTATTACAGTTAAAAATACGATATATGTACACAGTGCATGACTATAGCACAAGGCTTGATATCCAGCTGAAAGAAAGTGCGAGAGAGAGCGAGAAAGAGGAAAGAGAGAGAGAGAGAGAAAAGCTGAGAGATTTCTTTCTAGCTTGTCACGCGAATATATTTTTCTCTTAGCTTGTTTTCGAGATATTGTAAAATGTGGACGGAAATTTTGGGCACTTTGCGTATGTCGTACAGATAAAGAGCATCGTGTCGAATACTAAGTAAGGATATTTCAATAAGTTTTTCGTTTGTTCATCCTGACGCTACGACAGTTTAGATATTGCTCAAGTATATACGACAACCAATGCTCTAAGCATCTTGTCGCAAAATGTGCGCGAGGTGCATCTTGTGAGACGGGATACAGTGGCGCATTCGCGAATAAAAGGATTGCCTTTCTCAAATCCTGTCTGCTCAGTGACGAGCGGGATTACGTTTTTGAATTCAATGTACGATTTTGTAAATTAAGAGATTGAATAATTCTCTACGAATTTTACTTGTACGCGGAAATCTACAAGAAATCTACATTAGTGTAATGACTTATTATAAATTGCTAGTGATGAATTTGTTTTGATTGGTTTGCGAGTAACAGTGCACTCGCTTTAGATTCTTAAGAATTTTTTTCTTTGAAAAAGAATTTCTAGAAAATTTTTCATTTCACATAGGCAAATACAGAATAATAATACATTTTTTTGTCATTTTTCTTTCGCTCTTTGAAAATTCTTGTAAAAAGAAAGAAGCAAAAGAACGATCTCATTTAAGATATAAACGTTGCGAGAGCTGTAAAAGTGTCGGGATAGTACTTGTAGACTATAGTAGGCATTGTACGAAGGCATTGTGAAGCGTATTTGGAATAAAGATTTCATAAAATCTCGTCACACACAGCATTTCTGTTCCCTGGTAGCAACGAATTTCTGTAGTTGTAATAAAAAAAAAAGTGCTGAATAATGAATATAAAGCTATATATCGTACTCTTTAACTGTGCCTATTATTAGACAAGTTTATCACGATTATTACTATTTACTACGTTATTATTTACTGTTATCGCCGTCGTAAAAAAATTTTTTATAGTTTGTAGCGATTCTCATTACGTCGTAGTAATCACGTCCTGCGCGCGATATTTTCTTCCTTTTTTTTTCTACTCGATTAAGATAGGGTCCTGCGAGTCTTGGTGGCTGCGTGCATTTTTTTTTCTATGTTCCAGCGTGAAAAAATTTTTGTTCCGCCGAGTAATTAAAAAAAAAAAGCATTTAGAGCACCAAGTGGAACGTTCTGTCAAAAGTTCGTGTAAGCACAATGTAAAATGATCTTCGATCGTTTATGCCTATGGTTCACGACTGTCGAGGAAGCGATTTATCATACGATTTCGAGGGGCATTCGAATAACTACTGCCTTTTTCATATTGCGCAAAAGAAAAGTAAGAAGAAAGTGTCTCTCAGTTACCACAATATTTTTGGGAGCATCGTACGCCGATGGTGTTCACGCCCACACTACACGTATACACAGAAAAGTATAATATATGTTACATCGACTGTCTATCGACTATTGAATGTGAAATAAAAAAGAAGAAATAAATTACGAAGAAATATAAGCGGGTTTAATTATTAACGCGCTAAATATAATGTCTACTTGACGCTCGCGGTAGGTACCGTTAAAAGAAAATCGTGGAGACGGCGCGCGCGCGCGCGCGAGCGATTGTTTGAAAAATTCAGGGGATTTCATTTAAGCTGCAGAAAATACCTCCGTATTATATTGTGTAAACATTCATTATCGAAATAAACTTAAGACTGAAGAACGCGTGAGAATCTCTTGCTTCCCTCTCCCCAATGAAATTGTTATCGTCCTTTTATATAATTTATTGCGAACTTCGCTTTACGGTTTGCACGTAGAATATTGCATATAATAATGCGAAAATTAATGTTTGCAATTGTTTACTGATGCCTAGATATTTACGGCCTAATGATCAAATGTGTAATGATCAAAGATGTACACGGCGATTCTTTTTGTGTCATACATAACTCGCAATCCTCTTAAATCAGTTTTATAACGAAGTAATCTAATTAGCAGTATTATTAGTACGGCTTCGAAGCGAGGGAAGCCCCGGCAAGACTATATGAGGATTCGGACCGGGTGCCGGGGACGTGTCACTTCTGGGCGGGAAACAAATTCTCTGCTAAATCACTTCGTTCGTTTAGGAAAAAAAAAACCGCCAGATGTTTCCTCTATTATTTTCGGTCTTCGTTGTAGCCATTAAGGTATTTAAGAAGACCACTCCTAATGGTGAGTACGCTCTTCTCTACCTTCTTCAAGATCTCATCTTCCCTAACGATTAACAATGTCATGTCACGTTAAAACTCCTCCTATTCAGGCAAAATTACGGTATATCTGGGCAAGAGAGACTTTATCGATCATCTAGATCACACTGATCCCATCGACGGTGTTATCGTCGTGGAGAATGACTACCTTCAAGGGCGCAAGGTCTTCGGTCAGGTAGGTAGAACAGAAAAGACATTCAGTGCACGTTATTGCAAAAATGTTATCAGATAATTCCTGAAAGATGTCCAGGATTCATTAACGTATAACGTAACACTATATTGTACTTAGGTCGCGACAACCTACCGATATGGCCGTGAAGAGGACGAAGTCATGGGAGTCAAATTCAGCAAGGAGCTGGTATTGTGCCGCGATCAACTAATACCGACGAAGAAGGAGAAGCAGGAGACCACATCGATTCAGGATCGCTTGCTGAAGCGCCTGGGCTCGAGCGGTTCGAACGCATATCCGTTCACGTTCCAGTTTCCGCAGACGGCTCCTTGCTCGGTCACCCTCCAACCCGGCGACGATGATCAAGGGAAACCCCTAGGAGTCGAGTACACCGTGAAAATATTCGTTGGAGACAACGAAGAAGACAAGGTATGTCGAAATACGAGAAGATACACGGATACGAGAAATTAAATGCACAATACAAGAACAAATTGATAAAGTAATACATAAAAATTTTAAATCAGATTTTCTACAAAAAAAAATTTTTTTTATTTTATCAGGGACACAAAAGGTCCTCTGTATCGTTAGCCATCAAGAAGCTGCAGTACGCTCCACCAACGCGAGGCCGTCGACTTCCCAGCTCTTTGATTTCTAAGGGATTCACCTTCTCTCAGGGCAAACTGAATCTGGAGGTCACACTTGACAGAGAGATCTACTATCACGGCGAGAAAGTTGCGGCGAACGTCACAGTTACGAACAATTCACGAAAGGCAGTGAAGAATATTAAGGTATAATTGAATAAAATCTCTGCTTGCTGCATTTTATCATCACGATTTCTTCTATGCAGATGTTCGTGGTTCAACATTGCGAGGTGACCATGGTAAACGCCCAATTTTCGCGACATGTGGCTAGCTTGGAGACTCGCGAGGGTTGCCCGATCACACCCGGTGCATCCTTCACGAAACAATTCTATCTTGTGCCTTTGGCCAGCAGCAACAAGGATCGGCGTGGCATCGCTCTCGACGGGCATCTCAAAGTGCGTGAATCTCAAAGCTTGAATATGTTTGAAACGATTGAACGTAACTATCTTATTAATCTATGTAAAATTAAGATAAATTTAATTTTAAACGCGAAAAATACTCTCTGTGAGATTAATAAGGTAGTTAATAAATTAATCTCTTCTTTTTTTTACGGTAAAATATGTTAAAATATATAAAAGATTATACTTCAGTACTTTAACATATTTTACCAGTATTATATATCTATCTAAAAATATTAATATGCTAATATGTATAAATTTAAAATTAATATAGTAATATATAAATGATTATATAAAATAATAATATGGAAAAACTCATTTTAACTGTCCCGTTTAGGATGACGACGTAAATCTAGCATCCTCAACTTTGGTAGCCGAGGGCAAGTGCCCGGCTGAAGCTTTGGGTATCGTGATCTCGTATTCGATCCGAGTAAAATTGAATTGCGGTACTCTTGGTGGCGAGTTGATCACCGATGTTCCATTCAAACTGATGCATCCGACCCCTGGTATGTTACTTGGAATTAAAAATATCTTGATATTCTTACGTGTTGTGATTATCGTGTAAATATCTTAATTAAAGAAAAGATTTCATTTTTGGACGAAATATTCAGAATTCAGAATTTAAAAACAAAATAAAACATTTCACATTTCCAATTCAGATTATCAATTCTTTTTTTTTTCTTTGTGCAGGCGCCATTGAAAGAGAAAATGCTATACTGAAGAAAAGCAAGAGCATTGACAGGGCACGGTACGAGAACTCTTGCTACGCCAACGACGACGATGATAATATCATATTTGAAGACTTTGCTCGTTTGCGCTTGAATGAACCAGAATAAACTAGAGAAAGAGACAGAGAGAGAGAGAGAGAGAGAGAGCAAAAGATAGTGCTTTTTATCTTGCAATTAATTCAAAAAAATCCTGAGCTTTCTATGCTCTTGATGGATTATCTTTCGCGTTTAAAATTAAACTTATCTTTTAAATATTAACATCTATTATCTAGAATTACACATAATTGAAAAATAAACAAAAATTTAAACTAAAATATATTAAATGATTTGTTTAAAATTTGTATTTCTCTGGATTCTTTTGATGTGGTTTTTAGTGAACGAGCTGTATTAAATATAGATAAAAAAAAACACTTAAAATTAATTATATAATATTTTGAAACTGTTACTGAAGAAAAAAAGAATGAAAAGAATACAAAAAAAGCGAAAAGACAACTAAGTGTAAAAAAGGTCGTCTCAGAATTTCTGTGCAATGGTGGTGGTTGGACAGAAATTCGTTACGAGACGAACAAAAAAAAAAGAATATCAAGTAAGCTTTAATCTTTAAAGGACGGGTTGGTTTTTGGACAACTTCTATAGTTTTCAATTTAAAACTTTCGAGATATATGGCATAGTAATGATCTATGAAAAAAAAGCCGAGACCGCTTCAGAGCCGATAAATCGACTTCCCGTCCTCTAGAGGTTAATAATAATTCACGTTTAGTTAAGTTTAAGAATCTCCCGTCTTACCAGAAGTGACATGGTATATTATTCGTCCCAATTAATTTCTTATGTTTTACGGTACTCCACAGATTCAATTGTTTATTTATTAGAACTATTGATTGACGAGGTACTGTTCAGTTGCAATTATATTAGAAAATACATATGAAACTGTAAAAACGCACCTTTATCTTTTCTCTTTTCAAATCAGTTAATTCCTTTAGATCGCTACATGCGAATACACGCTATGTTTATCGACACAGAAAAATACGTACAGGATGATCCCGTCAGGATTGCTATGTCGCTACGAAACATCATCGCATCTTTATCGAAAATTATATATATCTATATGTATACATATTTTGTGTGGCTATACAAAATATTACAGGGAACAACGATACCAAATCAATATCAGTCTTATGCAGAGCATTGTGAAGACGACTCTCTCGTTGTTCTTCATCTAGTCGTACATATGCGAGTAATATTCCTGGTACGTCTGGATGTAAGACTCCTTCTCGATGGGCGTCATTTCCGCGATCAGCGTGTCGTTGACGTCGGTGATCGCGACGGTCTTGCCGCCGACACTCACGGTCGGCACCAGTTCATCGTCCTCGGAATCCATCGCCTCCACCTCGCCTGAAAATCGATTCGACAATAGTAAAATTCAAGAAAATACAGATTAATTAGCAGTCACCTGACAATGAGTACACTCTTTCTTTTTCATCACTTTACAGTTTAGAGATCTTTTATCTTATTACTCTTTTGACGTTTAAAATATCTTGACATGTTTACGTATTGTAATTATCGTAAATATTATTGTAAATCTTAATTAAAGAAAAGATTTTATTTTTGGATGAAAGATTCAGAATTCAGAATTTAAAAACAAAAAATGGGACATTTCACATTTCCAATTTCAGATTTGTTCAGACGATTGACTGTCGCAACGTCGGAATCTCTTGATAAATCTTTTTCCTTACCGGTATCAATTGCCTGCATTTCCGTGTCCTCCTCGTTATCGCTGCTGTCGCTGGATTCCTGTGGAAGCGCTGCTTTGATGGACGCCGCGGAATTGGTGCCGCCCTTCTTCTCGTGCGCCAGCAACACCGACATAATGTCCTCGCCCTGCTTGTTATTCGTCGTAGTCGTGTTCGTGGCAGTGGCTGCGGCTTTGTCCAAGATGCTATCTTGCGTATTCACGCCGTCAGGCTGTAAGAGTACATTCGCAAGTTGAGAGGAAGAGCCACGAGGAGGGGGCACGACAAAACGACAGAAATAATACCTGTGAACCATCGGAATTGATGACTGTGCTCTCCATCATCCATATCGGTCTCTCCTTTCTGTGATTCGATGCGTTGTCATCGGGCGACTCGTCTCCAATGGTAACGTCCACTCTAGTGTCCTCCACCATGAAGCCCGACATTCTGGTAGCTTCACCCGACCATTGTTCGCTGGGTGCTCTAAGACTGCTCGGTTTTCTCGTGTCGATACTATATATATAATTTTTTTTTGAGAATGATTATTTTAACACAAAAACACATTTTCTATGATGTATAAACACATCTTTAAAAACGCATACCCTCGAATAGTATTGATATCAATGGGTTCCGGTTCCAGTATTTCAGGCGCCAATTTGATCCCCTCTACCTCCCTCAATAGTATATAGAGCGGCTCCAACTGTACGTTGAACTTTGCTAATAATAATCTGGAATCTTTCTTTGGAAGAGCAGACTGATCTTCTTCCACTATCTCCCGACAATATGTACACCTAAACTCGCCGGTTCTCATGTCAAAAAGTTGATCCGCCTGCACAGAAATTCAATAAAATCTGTTATATGATCTTTGAATTAATGTTACAATACGATATTGTATTACGCTCTCATATTATCTCAATTATCGTATCATTTAATTATAATATAAAACAGGGCAAAATCGAAATTTTATTTTTTCTCAATTTCTTAATTCAATTCTTAAGACTTTATCACCCATGTCACACTGCCGCTACTTACTTCGAGATCGGTAAATGTCTTTAAACAACTTGGACACTTAAAGCTAGCTCTACTAGTTGCATCTCTCTCCTCGGTCTCCATTCTCTTTCTCATTAAATCGAGTTTATACTTCACCACATTTACAAACGTCTACAACAAAGACATAAATATTTATTATTCGTTCTTCCGTTTGTGTATTTTCTATCGAGTTAAACGGAGTTATTCTATGCACCTTATAATTAATAAAGTAATAGTTGACTTTCTGTGCTTTGCCATCCGACCCAGTCTCCATCTTCAATCTCACTTGAATGAATTTATCATTTCGCAACGTGGATATCCTGGCTCTCAGCATCTTCCGTTCGAACTTAAGCAATTCACAAATGTCATCTTCCTTCATACCTGAATGCGCAGTATTTTTCGTGAGATCAATAATTTCTCAATTACGAAAGATTTTCCAGGTCGGTGTACAGTTATGGACAAATAGGTGTGACACTTTTTTATAGGTTTCTAATATATATATTTTTTATAGGTTTCTAATATACATATTTAATATATAATATATATTTTATAAGTAACCAATATATTTCAAATACGAACCACGATTGGTGTGACTGTCCTTAGTCTAGCACACCAATCGTGGTTCGCACTTGCAAAATATTAGCGCGTTTCGAAATCTAAAAAAAAAAAAAGTGTCGCAACCTGTGTTTGTCCACGACCGAACACAATTACTCACATGGATTCCTGACCAACATATCCACAATTAAAGCATCCTCTATCGTGTAAAACCCACGTACGACGAGACGTGCCAATTTCTTCAGGCTACTGGGCACCTCGGTGACAAGTCTCTCCTCGGCGCTCATACTTTTGGCGAACAAAAGCGGGGCTTTCTAATGCAATATCGATATATCGATTGCCGAAAATAACAATAATTTGTTATTATCACGATGTTATTACCCGCCCGCGCGCCCAGCCAGTGCTCGCAGTCTCACGTCAAACGCACTTTATCAGAATCACACGCGCCAGCAATACGGTCGCTACACGTGTAGAACTGTAAGCGCATCTTCATATTTCTCCTAAAAAAGAAAAAAAAGTCAGACCTACGTGTTAAAAGAAAAAGATATTTTGCGGCAAAATAAACTGACACGGGCTTCCTCGCGTACGCAAACATTAACACTACGAATTCTTACGGCGATCAGAATCTTCTCCTCTCCCGTTCCGCCCCTCCTTGACCCGGTTATCGTTACACCTGCCCCGAGCTGGGACACATCGCCTTGCGCCCCAGGAACGTCGGAGAAATCACGAGGAGACGATTCCGCCCGACGATTCGCGCGGTACACTCACAATCGCGACCTGGCTCTCTCTTCTAGGTTAGAATTGGGAAAATCCCGCAATCTCCGCTATTGCGGTATTGCGCCGCGTGATGCGCGACGGTGCCGCGCCGCGCGCGCGAGTAGAGTTCCTCTAGTCAGAGTTGAGACATGAGGCGGAAAGACGCCATGTTTCAGTCTTACCGGAAACAGCCAATAATTCGCTGGCGCAACTTTCAAATCATGGAAATGAATTATAACTTATACTAAAATAATTTTCAAAATGTTTTCACACTCAGAATAAAAATGCGACATGAATGTAACATAATTTTTTATTATTACAAAATAAACGTATGAATCTATAACGTCTATAACCAATAGTAAATATATCAAATAATGTGCGCAGAAACGTTATCTGAAGTATTTACTACTGGTTACTGTTTAATTTTAGATATAGTTGCAGAATCGGTTTGTGGTGATACACTCTGTAGAACCATACCATACAATGATTGAAGAATAATTTCTTACTTTTGTAAAATTCTATAATTTGATTCTGTCAATTCTGTGTGACACCATGACAACTCTGTTGTCTGTAGTACTCTATACCAACAAAAACTGATTTCACCTATTCACTTACATTAACTAACACATCGACAAACTGAAATATGGCGGCACCAATCACGAAGA